GGGGGCCCCGGGGGCCCCGGGGGGCCCCCCCAGAGCCGTCCTGGGGGCCCCCCTGGGCGCCGTAGTGCAGGCCCCGCTGGGGCCCCGGGGGCCCCTGGGGCCCCCGGGGCCCCGGGGGCCCCTGGGGGCCCTGGGGCCCCTGGGGCCCCTGGGGGCCCCTGTGGAAAGGAGGCCCCAAGAAAGGGGAGGGGCCAGGGGCTAGGGCTGCTGAGGTGTACGTACACCTCAAGTTTGAGTTTTTTTGTTGCGCGGCGGAGGCGTGGGGTGTACAGACAGCTCGTGCGCCGGCGCTTTTTTCTTCTTTTTGTTCTTTTTGATTTCTTCGATTATTTTATTTCCTTTTTATTTTATTTTGTGCACTTTCTTATTTTATTTATTTTATTTTTTATTTCCGGGCTCCCCGAGCTGCACTTTCGTCTTTCTTTGAAGCAGCAAACAGCCAAGTGCATGCATTTTCATGCATGCAGGCAAGTGCATGCATGCATTTGCATGCATGCAAGTGCATGCATTTGCATGCAAGTGCATGCATGCAAATGCATGCACTTGGCTGCTTTCAGTTGAATTCAATGAGCACTTTGACTCCAAAGCCCGCCCACAAACCCTAAACCCTAAACCCTAAACCCTAAGCAGTGACAACCGACCTACTGGGCCACCACAAGTGCCTCCAAAATGGATCTCTTTGGAAAAGTGTAAAACCCGAAAAAGCAATAAATAAATATTACTACAAAAAGAAGTTAAAATTAAAGTTAAAATTGAAATTAAAATTAAAATTAAAATTAAAATTAATAAATTCGAAGGAGATTGCCACTTGCAGGCTGCAGCGCATGCATTTATTTGCGTTTTTTGGATTTGTTTATTTCTTTTATTTTTCTTTTTTTATTTTTTATTTTTATTTCCTTTCCACATTTACTTGCTGCTGGAAATAAGCAAAAAGAAAAGGCGTTTTTGCCCCATGGCAACCAAATATGCAATTTCGAGGGTTTAGGGTTTAGGGTTTAGGGTTTAGGGTTTAGTTCTCGCCATCTGCGCCTCCCCAGAAAGGCGGTCCGTAGCAGGGGCCCCCCTAGGGGCCCCTCGGGGGCCCCCCAGAGGGGCCCTGAAAGGGTCCTGGGGTTAGGGGTCTTTAGTACCCTTTTAGCCCTGGGGCCCCTAGGGGCCCCCCCAGGGGCCCCCAGGGCTAAGAGGGTACCTGAGGGCCCTCTTGGGTTGTTACAGGAGGGGGCCCCCCGAAGTCACCTGGGGCCCCTCTTGGGGGCCCCCTGGGGGCCCCTTGAGGCCCCTTTGAGGGCCAAGGGGCCCCTTGGGGCCCCTTTGAGGGCCTTTTGGGGGCCCCTTGTGGGTTCGTTGGGGAGCCTAAACCCTAAACCCTAAACCCTTGGGGGCCCCCGGGGGGCCCCTCGAGGTAGGGCGAACCTTCCATGTTTTCGGGGGTTTGTTGAAGACTCTAAATTTGGCACTAAAAGTTCAGTTTAGCAGCCGTCTCGGAGGTTTTAGGGTTTAGGGTTTAGGGTTTAGGGTTTAGAGTCGGCGGCGAAGGCTCGCGGTGGCCGGTGGTGTGCGGGTGGGAGGTGCGGAGGAGCGGCGTTGCGTCGCCATTAGGGTTTAGGGTTTAGGGTTTAGGGTTTAGGGTTTAGGCTAGGGTTTGCGTGGCTGGGTTGTTTTGGTGGTTGCGTTTCTGGGGAATGTGGCGCAGAGAGAGTGAGATTAGGGTTTGGGAGGAGCGGCGCTAGCGCTCCTAGGGTTTAGGGTTTAGGGTTTAGGGTTTGGCGAGGTAGGCGGGTTGCATGCGGATAGGGCGGGGGGATTGAGTGGAGAAAGGGTGGAGGAGGGTTTAGGGTTTAGGGTTTAGGGTTTAGGGTTTAGGGTTTAGGGTGCGGGTTGTTGGCGGCTGCATCGATTGCGGCGCAGCCCTGCGCGGTGGCAGCAGGAGCAGCAGCAGCAGGAGCAGCAGCTGCGGGGGCTGGCTGGCGAGGGTTTGAGGAGGGTTTGTGGTTTGTGGTTTGCTGCAGCGCTTTTTTAGGGTTTAGGGTTTGCGTTAGGGTTTGCGTGAGGGTTTGGTCTGTCTTTCGGGGTTTGGGTGTAGTACGTGCAGCGGCTGCGGCGTCTCGGCGGCTGGCGGCTTCGGCGTCGTTCTTCTTGCCGAGGGTTTAGGGTTTAGGGTTTAGGGTTTAGGGTTTGAAGGGTTTAGGGTTTGCGGGATGGCGGGCGTGGAGGAGGCGCTGCAGCAGCTGAAGCAGGAGCTGTCGAGTTGGGCGGAGCGGCTGCAGCGCAGCAGCAGCAGCAGCAGCAGCAGCAGCAGCAGCAGCGGTGAAGACCCCGTGTTTGAGGGGATGGTGCGGGACCTGCAGCAGTACGACAGCGCCCTCCAAACCCTAGAAAGGGGAGTTAGGGTTTGTCTCGAGGGTTTCCAAACCCTCTGCTGCAGCCTCGAAGTCCTCAGCGAAGCAGCAGTCAAAACCCTTTCCAAAAAGTCCGACTTTTTCATATCCCGGGATGTTTGCTGCTACCGGGAGTCTGTACACCGCATCGCCCGGGCCGACGCCCCACACGCTGTCTTCAGCAGATTCAAAAGAGATTTACTTTTTAATGTGCTGCAGCCGCTGCAGCAGCACTTGCTGCTGAACAAGCAGCTCCGCAGCAGCTGCCAGCAGCGCAGCAAGCGGCTTGCTGCGCTGCTGCTCGCCAGCGGCCGCCTCAGGCGCCTCCAGCAGCAGCAGCAGCAGCAGCAGCAGCAGCAGCAGCAGCAGCGGCGGGGACGCAGGGCGCTTTAGCAAAGACGCGGAAAAGGAGAGCCTCAAAGGAGGCGACGGGCAGCTGCAGCAGGGCACAGACAAAGACAGCAGCAGCAGCAGCAGCAACGGAAGCAGCAGCAGCAGCAGCAGCAGCAGCAGCAGCAGCAAGGCTGCACCAGAAGCTCCCGCTGCAGGCTCCTCCACAGCGCCCGACCCCGCAGAAGACACGGGGGGCCCCCAGCAAGGCAAAGGGGGCCCCCTGGGGCCCCTTGAGGATTTGCTGAGCTTCGGCAGCGAGGGGCCCCCAGACGCGGCTGCTGCTGCTGCTGCTGCTGCTGCTGCTCCTGCTGCGGCTGCGCAGGACGCAGCAGCAGCAGCAGCAGCAGCAGCACCAGTCGTAGGAGCGGAGGCAGACTTACTTGATTTGGGAGAGGAAGGAGAGCACTGGGGGCTCAGCGGGGGGGCCCCCCTTGGGGGCCCCCCGGGGGGCCCCCAAGGGGGGGCCCCCCTGGGGGGCCCCCTGGGGGGCCCCCCAGGGGGCCCCCCGGGGGGCCCCCCGGGGGCCCCCCTGAACCTGCTGCCGCTGCCGGAGCTGCTGGGGCCCTTCGATGCTGCGAACTGCGAATGGAATAAAGACAAAGAAATAGAAAGACAAGTGCGGGAGGAGACTGAGGAGTTGAAGAGAAAGATCAAGCAGCAGCAGCAGCAGCAGCAGCAGCAGCAGCAGCAGCAGCAGCAGCAGCAGCAGCAGGGGGGGGGAACGCCCAATGCAGCAGCAGCAGCAGCAGCAGCAGCAGCAGAAGAGTGGCCCAACAGTGACGCGGGCGGGGCAGCTGCGCCGCATGCAAGCAGCAGCAAAGATGCTGCTGCTCTTTTGGAGCAGCAGCAGCAAACCAACAATGGCCCTCTCCCGGGGCTCCTTTGAGGGGCCCTTCGGGGGGCCCCCAAAGGGTACTGGGGGCCCCCAGTGCCCTTTGGGGGCCCCCAAAGGGTACTGGGGGCCCCCAAAGGGTACTGGGGGCCCTCAAAGGGTACTGGTGGCCCTGAAAGGGTACTGGGGGGCCCCCAAAGGGTACTGGGGGCCCCAAAAGACTGGGGGGGGCACCCGGCAGATCTTGGGGGCCCCCGGGAGGCCTTAGGGGCCCCTAGGGGCCCCGCGATGGGGGGGGCCCCCAGGGGGGCCCCCAGGGGGCCCCTGGGGGTACACTTGGGGGCCCCTAGGAGCTGAACCCCAGGAGGTCTTAGGGGCCCCAAGATGTCTGGGGGGCCCCCAAGATGTCTGGGGGGCCCCCAAGATGTCGTGGGGCCCCCCAAGACCTTGTGGGGGCCCCTAAGATCTCGGGGGGGCCCCCAAGACCTGCTGGGGGCCCCCAAGATGTCGGGGGGCCCCCAAGATGTCGGGGGGCCCCCAAGATGTCGGGGGGCCCCCAAGATGTCGGGGGGCCCCAGAAGTGGTTGGAGGGTTTTATTTGTTTGTCCCTTTTGTTGCATTTGAGGGGATTAGTTGGGGTGTCTGTACACCTGGGAGGGGTTTATTTGATTTCGGTGGTTGGCTTTTCCTTGCTGCATCGGCGGCTTCGATTTGCTGCACTAGTCCGCGCTAAACCCTAAACCCTAAACCCTAAACCCTAATCCCTGCGTGCGCGGACACCTGATGCAAAAGTTATCCGGGGGTTTAGGGTTTAGGCCCAGCCGCCCCGGCCGGAGTTTTTTGATGCAAACGAAACCCTAAACCCTAGCTAGGGTTTAGCTGAATCTAGGAAGAAGCCTTCCTTGCGCCGCTGCCGACAAACCCTCGCGAGGGTTTAGGGTTTAGGGTTTAGGGTTTAGGGTTTAGTCGCACATAGTCAGAGGCGCCGCCTGAGGGGGCGACATCGCCGTGCCCATGCTGCTCGTTAGGCCCAGGACTCTCCCTGAACAGAAACCCCAAACCCTAAACCCTAAACCCTAAACCCTAAACCCTAACCCCACTGCAGAGCGTGGCGAGAGGTCTAGAGACGCTGCGGTGGTGTAGGGTTTAGGGTTTAGGGTTTGGCTCACTCTGCTGCTGCACCCACGAGAAGCTCAGAAAGATTACGAGCACCTGTTCACAAACCAAACCCTAAACCCTAAACCCTAAACCCCAAACCCTAAACCCTAAACCCCAAACCCTAAACCCTAAACCCCAAACCCTAAACCCTAGCTAGCCCCTGAGTGACTGAAGTCCCCTGCATCGGTGCAACCGCGACGCAGTGCTTCCCGCAAACCCTAAACCCTCCCCGAAGCCCCCAAACCCTAAACCCTAAACCCTAAACCCTAAACCCTCCCCGGAGTCGCGAAGCCCCCCAAACCCCAAGCCCTCCCCGCCGCGCCGTCCCCAGCAAGCGCTGCCGCCCCCAAACCCCAAACCCTAAACCCTAAACCCTAAACCCTAGGGACCTTGAGGAGGAGGTTGAGGAGGGAGAGTCCGAGGGCCCAGGCGTGCGCGGCGAGGGCCCAGCGGACCTGGAGGTCCTGGGGGTCTGGAAAACACGAATTAGGGTTTGGGGTTTCGCAAGTCCAAGTGGAAAAAGCCACGAAAAGAAATAAAATGTCCGCAAAAGATGACAAAGACAGCAGCACTGCGAGCTGCTGCGCGCTGCGCAGCAGCCGCTGCAGCGCAGCGCGACTTGCGCAGCAGCTGTCTATACACCACAAGTGGTACCCCAGCAGGTACACCGCAAAGTTGAAGTCGCAGCGCCCCACAGAAGCAAACAAAGAGTTCGTCAGCAGCAGCTGCAGCAGCAGCATTATTATTCCGGGGCTGCTCCGCAGGCTCGACAGCTTCTCCCAGCTGCTGCTGCTGCTGCTGCTGCTGCTGCCGGCTGCTGCTGCTGCTGCAGGGGGCCCTCGCGCCCAAGGAACCAGCGCCGGGGGCCCCAGGGAGCCCCGGGGGCCCCCGCTGGGGACCCCCAGCAGGGGGGCCCCCGGGGCCCCGGGGGCCCCCGGGGGCCCCAGGGGGGCCCAGGAGGGCCCCAGGGGGGCCCCTGGGGGCCCCAGGGGGGCCCCTGGGGGCCCCAGCGACGCGAACGTCACGGGGGGCCCCTGCGAAAGCGGGCACCCGTAAATCGGGCGCGAGACCATGTACGGGCTCGTCATGGCCGCTGCTGCTGCGGCTGCTGCTGCTGCTGCTGCTGCTGCTGCTGCTGCTGCTGCTGCTGCTGCTGCATGCGCGGAGGGAGCAGCAAGGGGGGAAAGCAGAGCCCCGGAAGAGCTGCTGCAGCCACCAGCTACTCTGCGCGCATCCCCGCGCCGCCGACGCCTTCTGGCGGCGCCGAAGGCAGCCGCAGCAGCAGCAACTGCAGCAGCAACTGCAGCAGCAACTGCAGCAGCAACTGCAGCAGCAGCTGCAGCAGCAACTGCAGCAGAAGAGGCTTCTGCTGCGCGCAGAGGCCCTCAGGCGCACAGAAGCAGAGCCGAGGCGCTGCAGTTTCTCCCGTGGCTGCGGCGCGAGCCGCTGGGGTCTGCCGGGAGCTGCAAAGCGGAAAAAGCGCGAAAAAAGAACTCAAAAGTAAAAAATTAAATCAAAAAAAAGTTTTCAAGTCCTCAGAAAGCAATTTAAGACGCGAATGACCGCCAGAGTGAAGAGCCCGCTGCTGCGGCTCGCGCGGCGCGCAGTCACCCGATCCGCTGCGATTTTGAGCCCTTTTCGGAAAAAATTGGCTCTCCGAAACTGCAAATTTTAAATTATTTGTGCAGAAGTTTTTGCAGAATAATTTGTGAGCGGCAACGCGGAAGATCGCGGGGGTCCGCGCGGCCAGCACGAGGTGTCTGTACACCTCGGAAGCCGCTGGTCGGATAGCCAGCAACAACCTGGAGGCGAAACCACTTCGCCACTTCTTTGAAAAGCTTCCAATTTTCGGACTTTGGCGCAAATTCGAAATAAGTTTCCGATATTTCATTTGTTTTTGCGTCTTTTGGCGCGCCAAGTTTTCTTTTTCGCCGCAGTTTCCCTCCGCGGGCTGCCCGCCGCTCTCCGGGTGTCGGCCGCGGCGATCTTCTCAGAAACTCCCATTTCCTTCTTCAAAAGGACTTCTCGGAAACTATTTGCATTTATTTCCTTTTATTTGTTTCCTTTTTAATCCATTTTCAGCTTTACTTCCCGCAAAGTCGAGAACCACTCGCGCCGCCGCCCCAGTGCAGAACTTGCAAAACGCCTCGGCGCAGCAGCGCATGCAGCAAATTCCAAAGACTGTTTTTCTTTTAAATTTGCCAAATAAAAGTCTTTTATTTCTTTTTCTTTTGGAAATCCATAAAGAGCAAAGCGAGACAAAACCTTTAATTAAAAAATGGTCCACTGGACCTCACAGAAAGAGCCCCCCACCCCCCCCCAAGTTTTCTTTTGTCTTTTGTCTTTAACCACTTTTTTGAAAAAAAAGCGCCTTTTGCAGCTCAAATAATTAACAAACAAAAGCTGAAACAAAAGGAAAGAATAAATTTAATTAAATGAAGAACAGAAAAGAATAAATGAAATAAAGAAAATGAAAGAATAATTACGAAAAAGAAAAGCCGCGCAGGCCAACTCTGCGGTGTACGTACACCGCAGCGGCGAAAGCTGCTGCAGCTGCTTCTTGCGGCGGCAGCAAACCAGCATTGGTTTGATTCCCCAAACTCCAAACCCTAAACCCTAAACCCTAAACCCTAAAGTCTAAACTCCAGTGCTCCTAGTGGCTTCTCGCGGCAAAGCTGCGACAGGCTGTACTGTTCTTGCTGCTGCTGCTGCTGCAGCATTTGCAGCTGCTGCTGCTGCTGCTGCTGCTGTGGTTGCTCGCGTGCAATAGAGGTCTCCAAAGCGGGCATCAAAACATGAAGTTGAGGGTTTAGGGTTTAGGGTTTGGGGTTTAGGGTTTAGCAGCTAACTTCGATGGCGCCCCAAATTTGAAGGGCAGCCCCTGAGCCGCTGCAGGATGCCCCTTGCAACTGCACCCCCTTCCCCTGTTGCTGCTGCTGCTGTTGCTGCTGCTGCTGCTGCTGCTGCTGCTGCATTTGAGTTTCTTCGCAAGCCTGTGGAGCTGCATGCAGCTTCCGTCTCTGCTTCTGCGGGGGCCCCCAGGGGCCCCTGAGCTGCACCGCAAACGCAAGAGATGAACAGCCCCTCCCAGGCTGCTGCTGCTGCTGCTGCTGCTGCTGCTGCTGCTGCTGCTGCTGCTAGGCCCAAAGCTCCCAAGGGCCCCCCAGTGCATGCAAAAAAGGGGACTAAATTACCTTTGGGGGCCCCTGGAGGCCCCTGGGGGCCCCCCGCGTCTTGCGAGAGGGTCTCTTGGCCTTGGCGCAGCAGATTCCAAAGCCTAGAAGCAGCAGCAGCAGCAGCAACAAAAGCAGCAGCAACAAAACTAACAGCAGCAGCAGCAGCAACAGAAGCAGCAGCAGCAAAACTAACAGCAGCAGCAGCAGCAAGCGAAGCAGTAGCAGCAGCAGCAGCAGACAGCGGTGGCAGGCGCCACAAAGAGGAACAAAAGCGCAAAACAAATGCAATAAAATAAAAACAAAAAAGAAAAAGAAATCCCAAAATAAAAAACTTAAAAGCCCACCAAGGAGAAAAGAGGGGCCCCCGGGCCTCCCCCAAAGCCACTGCTGTTTGGCTTTGCGGAGGATCTTTCAAAAGAGAAAAAGAAAAATTAATTCGAAGCAAAAGGGGCCCCCAGGGGGCCCCCTGGACTTGGGCCCTGAGCTGTACGTACACCCCAGAAGCAGCAAATCGCAGAAGCCGTTTTCGCTTTTTGGGTCCAAACTTTTGCCTTCAAAGCCCATTAAGTGCAGCTTTTATTATTTATTTATCTTTGTTATTTATTTATTTATTTATTTATTTATTTATTTATTTATTTATTTATTTATTTATTTATTTATTTATTTTGTTTGTTTGTGTTGTTTGTTTGTTTGTTTTTCAAGTTGAATGCACGGAAAGAAAGAATGCATGTACTGTCTTTTCGCCTGCATGCAATTTACGTGAATAAACGGAAAAAAGAGGAGAATTTTGCACAAAAAGGCACTTTTTTTTCATTATTTGCAGTTAATAAATCTATTTTCTAAAAAGTGACTTTTTATTTATTTGCTGATTCGTTCCACTTCAAGAAAAGAGCCGCGCATGCGCTCCCGCTGGGGTGTATGTACAGCTCGGCTCACGCCGCTGCAATTTGCATGCGGGCACTCTTTTAATTTTTGCACTTTTAATGAGGGAAATGAATGCAAATAAAGGGCATTTGATGCAACAAAATGTTTTAATTATAATTATTTTATTTTCCCGCAAAAAACCCGGCACTTTTGGCCTTAAAAAAGCCATTTGCTTCGAATTTCAAAACCAGCTCGCAGGTGTACATACACCTGAACTGCATGCAGCCTGCGCATTTGCAAATGCGCCTTTAAGGCATTTCACTTTTATTTCGAATGCTTTTTATTCTGCTTTATTTCTGGATTGTTTCTTTTTCATTTATTGCCAAATTATTTTTCTAAATTCCCCAAAAAATGTTTTATCCAACTCGAAATATAATATGATAAGCCCCTCTCCAAACCCTAAACCCTAAACCCTAAACCCTAAACGTCTGAGTGTCTAAATATCGAGCGCTAAACCCTAAACCCCAAGCCCTAGTCCTCACGAGATTTATAACTAAACCCTAAATCCCACTGCCTTAAACTCCCACCCACAAGCTTCGCTTCCAAACCCTAAACCCTAAACCCTAAACCCTAAACCCTAAACTTACAGAGCTGAGACACAAAACTGTGCGAGGCCTCAACGGTGGAAAGCTAAGCGCTGGGCAGACACCGCACGCAAAACCTCACCCCAAACCCTAAACCCTAAACCCTAAACCCTGCTGCTGCTGAGGCCCTGCTGCTGCTGCTCCTTTTGTCTCCTTGCGATGATAATGTAGAGCAGCAGGCCCACGCAGCGACAGGCGCATAAACCCTAAACCCTAAACCCTAAACCCTAAACCCTAAATCTGGTATCAGTGCCCCCCTCGAGTTCGCCGACGTTATCAAAGGCCCTCACTCACTTAGGGTTTAGGGTTTAGGGTTTAGGGTTTAAGAAAGCGTACCTAGTTGCGTCAGTGCAGTCACCGCGACGCACACCAAGGAGGGAGGGGGCCCCTCAGCAGCAGCAGCAGCAGAAGCAGCAACAGCAGTAGGAGCAGCAGCAGCAGCAGCAGCAGCAGCAGGAGCAGCAGCAGCAGGCGTTGCTGTGGGGCTCTGTCCCGAAGGCAGTTCTGAGGCAAATAAGCACTCAAAAGAATCCTCAAACTCTAGCCCCTACCCAAACCCTAAACCCTAAACCCCAAACCCTAAACCCTAAACCCTAAACCCTAAACCTTTGTACCTCCTTGATCTCCGTCAGTGGGTGCAGGACGGGAGGAGGGGCCCAAGGGGGCCCTTGGGGCCCCCCCACTAGGCGGCACGCGGAGGCCCCCTTGCCGTGCTGCTGCTGCTGCTGCTGCTGCTGCTGCTGCTGCTGCTTCCGTTGCTGCTGCTGCTGCTGCTGGGCCTCTATTACCCGCAGCTGCAGCAGCAGCAGACGGGGGGCCACCAGCAGCTAGGGGGGCCCCCACAGCTGGGGGGCCCCCCGGGGGCCCCCAAGGAGGCTCAAAGAGAATGGGGGGCCCCTCGGGGGGCCCCCCAGCCCCCAAGGCCTCGTAGGCTACAGACTCAAGTGCGCAGAAGTACCCAGATATTACCTGCGGGAAAACCCCAAACCCTAAACCCTAAACCCTAAACCCTAAACCCTGAGGGCTGGGTCTGTGTGACCAGACTAAACGGGGGGTAGGGTTTAGGGTTTAGGGTTTAGGGTTTGAGTCTAAAGTTTGAACTTGCGTCGGCTGGGCGGAAGGAACAAGCTTCCTGCTGCTTCCACTGTTGCTGGTGCAGCAGCAGCAGCTGCTGCTGCTGCTGCAGCTGCTGCTGCTGCTGCTGCTGCTGCTGCTGCAGCAGCGAGGGGGTCAGGAGGGCCCCCACACCCCAGCAAAGAGCTTCAGCTAGGGGGGCCCCCTCGGGGTTCGCGTGGCTGTAAATGGCTTTGATTATTTGCTTCTGCTGGTGCAGCTGCAGCAGCAAAAACCCTAAACCCTAAACCCTAAACCC